CGGGGATGGGGTGGGGATGGGGTGGGGATGGGGATGGGGAACCCGCCCGGATACGCCGCAGGTCTTTTCCTTTCCGTGGGGTTGGCACAGCTCATTCATTGCCCTCGCCCTCCAGCCTGAGTTCATGGAGCTGCCCGATAAAAGTGGGGTCCGATGCCGTGGGGAGCCGTGGGTGTGTAAGAGTTTCATCCCTGCACCGGGTGGGTATGGCTTCGGAAAACCCGGTATGAATAACCTGCCTGCTCATGCACTCAGTTAACGGCGGCAGCTGGGGACGCAGGTCGCGTGTTATTAATAACTTCATCCTGCCTCAGGTGGTTGTACAGGAGTGGGGTAAAAACTGCAAAGCGGTGAATGGCAGATGGCTGAAATGCTGTTGCACGCTGTGCCTGTGCAACACCCACGGTGGGAGGGACGGATTGGGAACGTGTGTTCGTCCACGGGGGAAACCCCATTGGGAAAATTGCTGTGGCCCGGTGCCATGCCATGATGTGCTGTGCAGTGCCAGCCCCTGTGGCAAGGACAGCGGGGTGTTATGGGGCGCTGGTGCGTGTCCCCTGCTCCTTATGAAACCTCCATCCAGAAAGCAGGGAGGTGGAGAGGTGGGCGGCAGCACCCACACTGCACAGGTCACCCCCTCAGACCCCGCTTTTTAGGGCTTGCAGCAGAGAGCACAGTGGGCAGCCCTTGGGCAGGGCGAACCTGCCTGCAGGAGCACAGCCATGTCACAGCGGCTCTCTGCTCCTGCCCATCCCTTGTTTGACATCCAGGTCCAAAGCCCGTGGGAGAACTGATGGTCTTTGCTGTGTTTGCGCCCCGGGCAGCGCTGTCGGCTAGTGAGATGCTCCTTGGCCCTGGCCAGGCTCGGGAGTGGGTGTGCTGCACCCCAGCTTGCACTTGGGTTCCTCTGCAGCTGCCATTAGGCAATCCCAGCGTATTTCTTTTTCCAGTAGCTCCTTCTCTCCTCTGCTAATGTGTGAAAGACCGACCCAAAGAGGAAGCTGACTCACCGGGGAGAGGAACGGTAAACCGGCATTGATACAAAACAAGCGGAGAGAACCCAGAAGCGATTTCCCTTTTTAGAAGGGTAACAAAAAGAGGGAGGAAAAAAAGGGAGGGTAAAGTTTTGGAGAGCTGCGTGCTCTGGCAAGGGCATTGCACACAGCCCTGTACTGGTCACTCATTTAAAAATATCCAGATTTCCTTTTGTAAATAAAAAGGACAATAATATTTCCTTTGGAGGGAGGCTCAAAATTAGGAAAATCCTGATGACTGCTTTGGCTGAAGGACAAAACGCCTGGGTGCAAAGCGAGCAGAGGTGCAGCGTGCGGGAGTGGGGCAGTGCAGTGAGACTGTGTGCCCATCTAGGAACTTGCATGATCAAGGTCTAAACAAGTGGCTTTCCTGGATTTTATATTTCAGTTCATACTCTTAGTCTAGAGCTTCTCTGGGGACACTGGAGAAGGAAGAAGGGGCTGTGAACAGAGTTAGCTGAAGGTATTTCCCAAAGCGCATTGGGTAAATTCAGTTTCCCAAAGGAAACAACATTGAGAAATGTGGGTAAAATTACTCAGAAGTAAATCAACCTTAGTTTGGTACAGCTGGCGTGACATTCGGGTCCCACCTTTGACTCAGCCTCTGGTTACAGCTCTCAGTAAACTGCAGCTATTTGCTATTTTGTTTTGCTATTTGCTTTGGACAAGCTGTTACATGACAGCGCTGCGGTGTGCCAGCTCTGGGGGAAACGAGGTGGAAGTATACTCTCCTCCCAAGTTTATCGTCTGCGCCACTGGCTTTGCATTTTAGGGGAGCTGGGGCCCTTCAATACAAACAGCTGCATTACAGAATTGTTGTCCCAAAGGGACCTGTCAGTCCGGTGTTTATAGAGTAATCGCAGTCCAAGGATGGCAGGCAGGCGTTGATGCACAGGGGATTTTCCTGCTTGCCATTGCAAGATGTAAAGTGGCTGTGGCTGCAGGGTTCAAGCTCGGGCAGCACAGAGGACTGCAGCCACTGAAGGAAGCCTGAGCCGGCTGGCACGGAGAGCGTGCCCGGCTCACCGCCGGTGTCGGCAGTCTCGGGGAACCAGGACTTCACGTTGCAGCTGAGTGAAGCAGCTGAACACACGGCTGCTGCTGAAGTGTTTGAAGTTTTGCTACAGCGACCCTACGAGTACATCCACTACCGCACATTTGTCTGTTAATTAGTGTCCTGCTTAGTGAGTGGCTGCTCTGCTGAAAGGGCCTTTTTAAGACCTTGGAAGACTTAGAAGCTGTGTTTTTGGTGCTAGGCAGGGGCAATGGAGGGTGGTGAGCAATTTCCTTGGCCCATACTTGCCCCAGTACCCACGTGGTAGTCTCTGGTGTTGGCAGCATCCCAGGGTCTCCAAGACCTGGCAGTTAATTTGCAATACAACTTAGTTTCTTTTTCCAGTGGCTTTGGCTGAGGGTCTGCATCCCCCCAGGGACACGTGGGTCTTCTGTCTGCCCCACCACGTCCTTTAACGTGCTTCGTTGGAGGTAGAAGTGGCTCCTGTCCCCTCCTCGTGACAGGTTTCATTTGTTAGTGTTGACCAAAGTGAGCACAAAAAAAAGATCAAGGGGATTGTGGGTTGTGCATGGCCGAGCCTCGCGGTACTTCTCCCTGCCTTTCCCACGGGCGATGGTCTTTGCTGGCAGAGCCACGCACTGGCCCAGCTGCCTCTCGAAGCTGAGCCCAGGAGATGCAACCTGCCAGCCCTTTAGTTTTCCGTAGGGTCGGTGCTGTATCTTTATGTGCGGGAGCAGCAGTGGTGCTCTGGCTGCAGCGGTTTCCCCCGGTGCTGGCTGCTGCCCAGCAGACGGACCCTGCTGTCCATCCAGCAAGTGGGTCATGGCCCAAATTTGGGGCCACACCAGGCTCCAGCTTTGCAAAGTGACATACTATTGGCGAGGATGGGGTGGGAGCGAGGGCCCTGGATGCAGCATCTGCATTGGGAAAGAGGTCCTGGTGTCCCAAAACCGGGGTGACATCTGGCCCTGGCCAGCCGGCATTGTTGCAGCTTAACTGCGCTGGTGTACAGGTGGCTGTGGTCGGGGTTTTCTCCTCTTCATTAACGCCAGATCGTGTTGGTGTAGCCTAAATAAAAAAACTGTGTAGAAGGTTGCACCGTGAGGCAGAAAGTCCAGGGTTATCGTGCAGCATCTGGAGGCTGCCAAGCGCTGTGTTTGGGAACAGCCTCTCCTCCAGCCTGTCCTGCCTCGTCCTGGGTGGCTGTTTTGCTGCTCGTGGCCTCGGGGGCAGGAGACGTCCCTCAGGGCTGTAACTCCGTGTTGCTTTGATAAGGAGGGATGGCTGCAGATCAGGGTTGCATTGGGGAAGCCACAGAGAGCCTGAAATCCCATGTGTTAAAGGGTGGATTAAACTCATAGTCATTAGATTAATGGGATTAAGCCCGTAAGTCAAGAGGCCGTTTTGCACAGAGCTCAGCACTGCCAGGAGCACCCACCGGCCCAGCTCAGGCAGCAGGAGTAGCGGCTAAGGAGCCTCTTGCTACCTGGAGTAACTGCAGAGCAATGTTTGTAACTTCTTTTTGCACCTGGCCATAGCAATGGGGATTTTGGTGCTTGCATAGGTGCTGTGCAGCACAGCAGGGGTGAGCTCCAGCTCCTCACGCAGGGGGACCAGGAGCTGCAGGGAGCTGCTGGGCAGGGACCGGCATCTTCCACCCTGCTTGGGAAGGGCTGCCCAAACCCTGCTCCCCGTTGGCTTGCGGCTGGGGAGCACTTCACCGGGGGGGCTTGCACGGAACAGGTTGGGCTCTGGGGCTGATGGCTGGTGCGTCTGGGAAGGGGATGGCAAATGTGAAAATTGGAGATAAAGGCTGCCTTGAAGAAACCCCGTGGGAGCAGGGCTATGCTGCAGGGGTGATGCGCTCTGGAGCATCCCTGGTGTTGGGGGGCCAGGGGACCGGGCAGCTCTGCAGGTCATTCCTGCAAAATACATGCCTGTTCCTCCTTGGCGAGAGGAGGGGTGGCGGTGCTGCCGGTGCTTTGGAGGAGTCTGAGCAGTGAGGGAGAGGCTGCGGGGGCTTCAGTAGCTGTCTGGAAGCAGTCAGCACCCTGTGCTGGTGTGTGGACCCTCGTGGTAGTGCATTCCCCCCGTGCCAGTGCATGACGCCTGTGCCGGTGTCTGCCCCCCATGCTAGTGTGTCTCCCTGGCACGCATGGGGGACACGGAGGAGCAGCATCTCCAGCAGCAGGAGTCGTCCATCATGGAGCAGTGGAGAACTGTCCATCCATATCGGGGGCGTGGGAAAACTGCAGCCTTCGTGATGCAGAGCTGTGGGCCCCTGTTGTATTTCCAGACTTCACAACTGCGGCTTGGTGTATTTTTGGTTTGTAGCACCAGGCCCGGCTCCAGCAGCCCCGCCGAGCAGCAGCCGGTCCCTTGGATGGCCAGCCCTCCTTGGGGTGGCAGCGGGACCTTCTGCTGCAGCTCCAGCCTCTGTGGCCGCTGGGCTCTGCCTCGGGAGCAGCTCTGCCCTGCCGGCAAGTGCGTTCCCTGCAAGCCTGTGGCAATGTGCGGACCACAGGAATAAGTGTTAAAAAATGTAGGTGGATGTGATAATATTTATGCCCTAGCAAATCTCCATGCTGGTTGCATAAGACGTCACGTATTATTTCCATCCCCGTGTCCTTTGCTTCCCCAAGCAGGAGAGCTGCCAGCAGTGCTGGTGACGTATGGGCAGCGACAAAAAACTTGTCACTGAAAAAAGGTATTTTCTGCTCACTGTGCCTGGCAGCCACCATGGCTCTGAGCAAAGAGCTGCTCAGCAGGCTGAGCTGCAATGCCTTTATGGAGCAGAGGGAGGGGGACACGCCATGGTCCCCATCCCTGCAGTGACTCAGCCCTGCAGGCTGGTGAGTCAGCACCCACTGCCTGCCCCATTTCAGAGGCAGTTTCCAACTGGGAGTGTGGCTCAGCTGGCAGCCCCGACCTGCCCCGCTTTCGTGCCAGGCATCATCCGCAGACCATTTCGGGAGCCCACGAAGTTTCCTGTGCACGCCCCGGCCCCACACTCCCAGGGGAATCTGTGCAGGCTGCATCAGGCTCCCCCATTAGATCAGGTGAACATCAGGTGAACTCTCTCCAGGAACTGTATATCTTGCAAAAAAACCCCTCCTGCAGCTCAGGAATTGCACGTGCCTGCCTGGTCTGACATCTTGCTGTGGTCTGGAAAACCAGAGCCTGCCTCCAAATGCAGGATCCTTGGGCTTCTTTTGGAGAAGACTCACACTTTGGGAGGGCTAAAATGTGCTGTCCTCAGCAAAAATCTTGCAAAAATTGATTGCAAAATTGTTCCTTTCTGGTGACAGATGCTATTTCAACTGCTGTCAGAAGAGAGCAGAAGAGATGTCAATTGGGTCCTGGTCCAAGAGGAAAAGGCCGGACCTCTTCTGGTGGCAGGATCAGGACTTGTCACACACAATGGCAAAGAATATTTGCATTTTCCAGACAGTTTCTTTGTGTCTCCGAGTGGCTAAAAGAAAATCACAGGCAAACTGTAATGTAAGAAGCAACTGAATTTATTGCATTTCTCCTTGAAGTAACATCTGCTGTACCCCAGCTGCAATAAAAATATAAGCAGAATAAATCCTTATTACATTGGCTGCTGGCAGCCGCTGCCCAGGTGATGCCAGGCTGCTGTGAAGGTGGGTCCAGACACAGTGTTACCTGTGCAGAAACCACTGCTGGCTTCTCCTCCAGCGCTGTCAGCTCCAGCTGAGTGATGCGGGGGAGACCAGGCAGACGCCTAGTAAGGTATATTTACCTTGCAGTTACACTGCAATTATGTTCTCAAGGATTTGATCTTGGAAGTAATTTTCTTATCTCAGCGTATGTTAACTTGAGGCTCTGAAGTCTTAAAGCCCTTTGGATGGGAAGCTGTCTTCCGCTTTCAGCAGCGATTTAACAAACGCTTTGAGGTTTGGGTTTCGCATGAGCTCGCTGGTGATTCCTGTCTACTGCCACATTTCACATGTGAAATGATGAATTTGCACCTCTTCAGATCATTTAGAAATGACAACACCAGCTTTTCCTGGTGATGATTGTACATAGAAACTTTGTGCCTACGAGCTAAATGCTGCCAGATCTGCAGGCATTGCTCAAATGCATCATTTGTCCTCATGGCTTTAATGGAAACCTCCTCTGAAGCACAAGAATTTGCAGCTGGGGCTCAGTGCATGTAGGAATAGGCATTATTAGCATCCTGTATTTGGCACTGACATTGCTTTAAAAGAAGCAGTGAGCCAGGCAGTGGGATGTTGGCCAGATCTGCGGTCCAGGATGGGGTAAGCATCCACTGTCAGGGGTACACGGAGGTTGGCTGCATCCCTTGCAGGTGGTCCAGTGTCTTTGTGACATTTAATATCCATGCCAGTGTCACCTGTAACCACACTGGTGCCTTCTCCAAAACCAAAGGAGCTTCGTGCGTAGCATGCGGTGCACGCGTCTGGCGATGCAGGGACGACGCTGGTGCGCCTTGCCGCTGTCAGCTGGCTTGCAGGCCTGTGAGGGCTTGGCCAGTGCTCGCTGTGTTGCTACTCTCGGGTATTTCAGGCATTTCCATTTCTACAGCACCAAAAGGACTGCGTGGCCCCTGGCTATCAGGAGCAGCAGCTATGAGCAGAGGGATGCTGCTGAAAGGCTCCTGGATGAATGATTTGGGAGGACAGGCAGAATTTGAGGGGGAGCAATATTTTTTAAGCGGAAATGTCATGCTTTTTTTTTTTTTCTTTTTTTTTCTTCTCTTAAACAGAAGTTGGCGTCTTGGCAAAGCAGTACCTTGAGCGAGGCCTTCTGGTGCCGGACCACGTCATCACGCGCGTGATGATGACGGAGCTGGAGAAGCGGCGAGAGCAGCACTGGCTGCTCGATGGTGAGTCCACTGCCACCTGGGAAAATCCCAGCCCCCTTTAAAACATCATTTTGCTGCTAATGGTTTGGCAGCACCAGGAGAGAGAAAAACCAGAAGGTGACTTTTCTGGTCCTGCCGGCCATGGGAGGAGAGGCAGGAGCCAACCTGCTGGCAGAGACATCTGCCCACGGGTGTTTCTTCCCTCTGCCCTGAGTGTGTCCAGCTGAGGCCTTGGCACACATTGGGGAAAGGCAGGGAAAGGAGATGGGTGTTTCATAAAGTGGAGCCAGCAAGCAGAGCGAGGCTGGAGGCAAGCCAAGAAAATCCTCTTACTGCCTCTGTCTGTGCGCGAAGGAGCTACTCATCCCAAGCCCAAAAGCCACCTGAGGTGCTGGTGGAGAAGACGCTGAGAGCAAACCAGCAAGGCAAGCAGTGAGAGGAACAGCAGAGGATTCACCAGGAGCTCCTGCAGTTCTCGGCGGTGAAGCTGCACGCCAGCAGCTGTGGTGCATCGCTGCTGGTGGCCTGGGAGCTGGCAAGTGCTGATGGAAGCTCTAGAAATCACGTTGGGACTTGGTTAGGGGATGGGACAGGGCTCGGCGGGTCACACTTACCTGCGGTGTTAGGCACAGGCAAGTAGGACATATGGGGATGAGCAGCTGTGGCTGCTGTAGGGGAAGAAACCCTCCCTTGCCAATCTGCTGAAGCTCTTTGAAAGAGTCAGTGAATACGTAGGTAAGACTGAGCCAGTTGATTTATAACCGACTTGGGCTTTTGGAGAGCCCTTGGGCTCCTTACAGGGAAAATACAAAACAGTTTACAACTAAAATAAGTCTGCAGTTTAGTGCCATGGACTGGAAGGCTGGTGGAGCTAGGCTTCTTCCCCATGTGGCCCTGGGTTGCCCCAGAGGAGGGGTGGCTTGTGCTTGGGCTTGGGGTCTGGCTGAACTCTTCTCACCCCAGCAGGCACCGGGGATCCGGCACCATCGGCACCGGGGGTCTGGCAGAGTCACCGCACTGGGCTCACAGGGAGGATGTCAAAGACCTCAAGCCCTGTAGGTTCAGGCTGCCTTGAAGATGCTTGTGAATCCTCACTATTAAAAATTCATTATTCTTACCATAATGCCACTTAATTAATCTGGGAACATGGCAATTAACAAATATTACAGCAACAAGCGCTGTGTAAACAAGTACATATTTCTTTGTATTAAAACTCTGGTGTTTCAACACATTCATGGGGGTTTGCATTGACACGCTCATATCTGGGTTCTTGCAGCTCAGGATGTTGGTTTATCGTGGTATGACCCCCAGCAGCCCGGGCTGGGGACCAGCTCCTGTTTTGTCGATACTCTGCATCTGGAGGTCCCGCCAAGGGTGCCGCAAGGGTGAAGCAATTCCGGGTGTGGGCTGGTAACAAGGATTTCGGGAACTGCCTGCTTTGTGTGCTGACCTCTGATTATACCAAGATGTTTGAGGGATGGGCTGCTCTTGTAGCTAAAATCTGAATGCAGGCAGCAGCGATGCTGGCAGCCCTGTGCTGTCACGTTCTTCCTCCTAATTTTGGGGTATTTCATCTGCCTGGGGGCGCGAGCAGTCAGAGCCCCACTCCAGCAGTACTGTGACAAGGAGCGTATTTATTTCAAGTGGTCTGTTTGATAACATAAATAACAGACCGACTTTACTTGGTAAGACAGACCAAATGTATTCTTTCTCATAATGGCCAATTCGTTCCCTGTGCTGATGTCCTGACAAGCTCTCGGCTAATAATATCCTGCTTGGGAAAAGCCTGGGAGGTCTTAGAGGGTTTTACGGAGGTAAAAAAAGGTTAAAAAAATGAAAAAAGGGTGTTGCCAGCAGAGAAAACTGGAGACGGGACCAGCTTGGAGTCACCCCTGGTTGCAGTCTGATGGCAAGAGCAGATGCTCCCACCCGCTCACTGGCTTTTCCGACCTAAAGGTACCGCCTGGTACCTTTGGAGGACGGGGGTTTCAGAGAGCTGGGTGATGGCTGTACAAACCATTTTATCGCAGAATTCTTGATGTCCTCCATGTAAATCAGCAGTGTGTTACTCATCTGTGCACAACATTTTGTTTCCTTTGTCTTTGTAATTCCAGCATTTATCCCTGTTTTGTTGTTGCCTGTGCCCTCTTACTTGCCTCCAGCTCCTGTGCAGGGACACCAGCCCTGCACCAGACACGACTTTGCAGGAAAACATGAGCCCACAGTGATCCGTGTGTTGTATTTCGGGAGTTGGTGCTGTAGGAGGTATATTTTATTGTAGCCATATGGTGGATGCCTGTCTTTCACACCGCTTGTGCTATAGTGAGGAGCCGTGGTGGTTTTGCAGCTCTGGGGCTGCGGGGTGGGTGCTTTTGACTCCATCACTGCTGCATTCCTGCTGGATTCCTGCTTCTCGTGACAGCCCCATTCTGTTGCGGTGCCTGCACAGGTTTCCCTCGGACACTGGGGCAAGCCAAGGCGCTGGATGGGATCTGCAAGCTGGACCTGGTGATCAGCTTGAACATACCTTTCGAGACGCTGAAGGATCGCCTGAGCGCCCGCTGGGTCCACCCAGCCAGCGGGAGGGTGTATAACATGGACTTCAACCCCCCCCATGTCCAGGTAAGAGCCCGTAGCATCGCGGTGGTGGTGGCTGGGAGCAATTCACAGAAGGAAAAGATCAGAGAAGCCTTTCTCTGCATAAGCTGAGATCGTAAAAAAGCATTGGGGAAGAAATCCCAGGTAGTAAGCACTGAGCACCGGAGGGCTTTGCCCTCAGGAGCCAGCCTGAAGGAGTTGTGCTAAATGTTAATTAGGAAAATGAGATTTATGTTAAATGCTGTCCGAGGATGCTCAATCGATGCAGAGCAGGATGAGGCATTTGCCAGTGGTTGCATGGCAGGGAGCTGCAGTGTGGGCAATGGGGCCAGTGGCTGCATCCCCTTGATGGTGTTTGCCTTCCTGCAGGGTGTCGATGACCTGACAGGCGAGCCGCTGGTCCAGCGTGAGGACGACAAACCCGAGGCCGTTGCTGCCAGGCTCAGAAAATACAAAGATGCTGCAAAGCCAGTAATAGAGTTGTACAAGTGAGTTGGACCATGCGAATAAATCACAGCGTGCCCACAAAAACAGGCACAAGTGCTGTTTCCACCTGCTGGTCCCATGCCCCCATCCTGGCAGCCTGAGGAGCTGCACAGCCCCCAGCAGATTTTGGGGGGCAGATCACTGCCCTCAGCTGCACAAAGCCCAGCCCTTCATTGCAGCCAAGTTCTGGCCCTGTTTGAAGGGAGGAGGCTGATACAAAGAAATTCACAGCTCCTGTTTGTCTTGCTGAGCTCCACAAAGGGCTTTGCCGGTGCTGGCAATGGGAGGGATTTTTTGGCTGTGGCAGAAGGCACTTGAAATCCCTTCTGCCCCCCAGCTCCACTGTGCAGGGTGGGAAGCCTATTTGCTTTGCAGAGCTGCTGTCCATCAGCGTTATGAAACCCAACCAGTTAAGAGTTTTAGCTTCTTTTTGAGCGAGTGTCCTCCAGCACAAGAGATGGAGAAGCTCTGAGATGCCTCAGACCCTGCCCTGCCCATGCAGAGCCGTCGCTGAACGAGCCGAGGGTCTGCGGGCGGGTGGGGACAGTGATGTTGCAGAGAGCAGCTCCGCTTCTGCCTGCACCCATGAGCTGCTTTCTACCCTGCTTCAAACAAACCCGTTCACCCTGTGCCGTGCAGATCCAGGGCGGTATGTGCTGTGCAGTCACCCTGCAAAAAATCAGTCCAGGGCCCCAAGGTGTTTAGGTAAAGTACAGGGCGATTGGCAAGAGGGCAGGAGAAGGGCAAGACCCTGGGGCTGGCCTGGATGGGCCTGCTGTGCGCACAGACCTGTTTCAGGACTTGTCCTTTCTGCGCTGCTGGTAGTTTGGGGCAGTCATCCCCTGGCTGGGTTGGGAATAGATGGATTGCCATAGAATGGCAAGGCTGAAAGGGAACAAGTGCTTGGGAATGTTTTTAAAAGCAGAAGTGGTCCACAGGGAGCCAAAAGCACCCTTGCAGGGGAGGGGGGAGAATTGGGGCCCTGAATTTCCCACTTGCTTAAGCACATGAATAAATCCTGCTGATTTACGTCTATAAAGCACTTCAGAGAACAAGCAGTCCTTAGGGGGACGAGGGTGAGCTCTCCTCCTGGGTAATGTGATTATTTGTGGTTATCTGGGTTTAGCTCATCCATGTGCGAATGCAGCTGGACTCCTCCCAGTGAATGCTGAGGACGGGACCAGCTGCTGCTCGTCTCCTTTATCCCCTTCCTCTTGCCCCAAAAGCCATCGGTGAGCTTCTAGCCTGGCCAGGCCGTCTCCTGCCAACCTGACTGCAAATACCCCTGTCCTCAGGACTGCAGATACCCCTGGTGCTGACTTCTTCCATCTCTCTTCCAGGAGCAGGGGCATCCTTCACTCCTTCTCGGGGACAGAGACCAACAAGATTTGGCCATATGTGTACACCCTGCTTTCCAGCAAGATCCCACCCGTTCTCTCAGATGAGGAGAACTGAACAGCTTGTGCCAAGGACCAAGAGCTAACGCCATCACGGATTTGGTTTCTCTGCGTGGTTCTGGGGATGTGCTCAGATTAGGTGATTGTATGGTATCTAAATCCCTTCCCTGGGTGGACTGGGTGACATCAGTGGATACATGGTTATAGCCAGTATCAGGGCGAAAAGATCTTTGTTTATAAGGTCAAGTCTGCTAGAATAAGGATTTTTTTTCTCTTTTGAGGCTATAAAGTTTTCCTGCCTACGGTCCAAGTACACAAACAGATCAGTGATGCAAACCTGGGTAATGATCATGCCAGGTTTACACAGCTTGCCATGATGTCCCTGCCACCCCCATACAAACCCCAGTCTCTGTTTGAGCCTAGAATGTGCCACCCCGTTCCTCCACAGTACTGTTTACTGCAGATTGCTCTCTAGGTTGTATTTTTTTTTCTATAAATTATTTTCTATTAAATTTATTTCTCAGAAAAATAAAGCTCTAAAAAGCAAGACTTAGCCCAGTAGGAACTGGTGAGCAACATGAAAAATGTGTACACTACGAAGCTCGGAAATGTGAAGATCACATTTCCAGCATTAATACACATAAAAGAGGGAAAACATTGGAGGTAAAACACACACTTGTGCTTCTTCCATAGAGAGAGATGAAACCCCTGTTATAAAAAGCTGCTGTGCAGTCTAGTTTTAATGAGATGCTGTGACACTGAGCAGGATCTGTGCTGGGGATGAGTTGCAGTTCTTCGTTCTTACCTTGTTTATAGCTTTTAATACTACAAGATACGGTCATGTTATAAGAGTTTCTCCCAAAGATTTATTTTAATGTGCGCTTCAGTTTCGGGAAGAAATCAAGTCATTCCATCTTCTGTGCTGCCTTTGTCCCCGAGGTCCCCTGGGGATGAGGTGTTGCCTAAGTGGTACCTGCTGGGGCTGCAGCATCTCTGGCAGCTCCCTCCCCACAAACCCCCGGAGGGGTGAGAGCCTTCCCTTCCCCAGGACGCGTGCAGGGGCTGCTGAGGGTCGTCCCCAGGCGTTTCCCCAAGATCTACGGCATCATCTGAGCGTGTTGCTCCTCTTCTCATGCGCAGGAGCTTTGCAGCCAGGTGGAGTGGCTTTTTGCAACTGGAAGTACTGTAACTCTGGTGGTAGGATGCAGTACCTAAGCAATGGGGATGTTCTTGTCTCCTCGAGTTGCCTTATTTTATAGAATATATATTTAAGAAAAAAGCAAGATGTGTATTTTTAAAGGTTTAAAAAAAAAAAGCGCTGAATTTTAGCATCGACTTTTGGGAACTGCACGAAGCTGCTTGTGTTTGCAGAGCGTGCTGCAGTCTGCCATGGGTGGCTCAGCAGGGAGGCAGAAAAGCTGTCACTCCCCTACACCCATTTGATTAATTGGAGCAGCCTGGGCAAGTTTCGGTTGCTGAAATGTCACTGTTTTTATTTTTGCTTGGAGAGTGGCCCTGAAGCAGGGGAGGGGGAGCAGACTGGCTTTTTTAGGGTTGCACAGGCTCCATGTGCGAAACTTCAGCACATCCCAGGAGTCTTTTATCCCTGCTGAGCCACCCGCATCCTCATGCTATCAGAGGAGGCCCTGATGTTTGCTCTCTCTGTCGAAGGCAACTTTGCCCTGGCGCTCTCCTGATAACAGAGCCAGAAGCTGTTGGGCATCTGCCGAGCGGGATCTCTGCCCGCGTGCTGCCTGCTCGTCGCCTGCCTGCTGGTGAAAACGATGATGCAGCAGCGGCAGGGGAGGGCTCCGCATCCCACTCTGGATGGGAATTTCCCAGGTGGGAGCAGAGGGACCGTCGGGTTTCACTGCTGTCCCTGGAAGCCTTTCCATCCCCCCGGAGCTCCTGGGCTGGGAGGATGCAAATCTTCCACCCTGCAATGAAATCCTATTTAAGATAGATTTTAGGTTTTCCCATGACCCTTGGAAGGAGGTCTGAGCCAGTTTTAAACACAAGTCTAGAAATAGCCAAAATGTGTGTGCTGTTTTCTTTCTAACAGTGTTGGGCAGGAGGGGAGGAGATGACGGGGGGTGGGTTTTAGGCTATAAAAGCAACCTGGCCACAGTGGGCAGCTCTGCCGGGGCTGAGTGCCGGGCAGGGGGGCTGCTCCCTGCTTTCCCCTGCCTAGCTCTTGTGTCTCATCCTTTTCTGCTGCAAAATGCCTCCTGCAGACAGGCTTTCCCCATGCAGCGCCCAGCGGCAGGACAGGGCTTGCAGATGTCTTTGCCCCAGGAGAGTCGCTGAGCGCTTGTTTTAAAGGCTTTGAGCCCTGTAGTAGATGTAGAAATCCCACAACTGTGCACGAGCCCTCGGGATAGATTTTTCTACAAGAGTTATTGTACAATGCATTTTCGTAGACCAAATACCAGCAGGGATGAGGTCCCGGAGTGATATGTGTTCCTCACCTTTCCTCCCCGCCACGCTCCCCTTTGGTATTTTACTGTGAATCTCACGCCTTTTCTAAAGCAACAGCAATTTTGTACTGACCCAAGATACTGTGTGGTGGGAGGAGGGTCTCCCCACGCGTGGGGCTCCGCTGGCATGTCACACCGAGGTTTCTTCCTGGAGTTTCTTCCTGGTGAATTGCTGCAGCTGTGTTACTGCTCAAAAGATGTAAATAAAATTTTTGCTCCTGCTTATCCCTGTGCTGGCAGTGTCTGTGTGTGAGTTAAACCTGATCTCCACTGAAGGCCAGGTTCCGCACGAGCCCTTGCCCTGCGCTGAGGCTGCGGGACATGCCTGCAGGTAGTGGGTCATTTTTGACCTGGAGATTTCTTTGTAGAAGCCGAGGAGGAGGAGGAGGGGGGAAGAAGAGGAGTCAGAGCATCCCCACTTGAACACAGGAGAAAATCCTGCAGTAAAGGGGGTCCCCCAGGTTTTGGGCTTGGGCACAATCCTGCTATTTGGGTCCTGTCTTACAGCCAACTCCTTTATTTGATATAATCCAAAATACCAGTTAAAAAGCCAGTTGCTCCTGCCCTCCCATCCTTTGCACATAAAGTGGTTTTTATTTTCCTATTTAACTTCCACCACTGAAAGTAATGGAGAGCATTAGGCACAGCAAGGCTCTGGCTATTGCCTGTGTCCCGTGTAATCCATCACATGTATTTTGGTAGAGGGAATTAAAAGCCGTAAGCTGAAGTGTCTCCACCCATCACTACCGGCTTGCAGATCCAATCGCTTTTTGCTTTTTTCTTTAATTCCCAAATAGCAGCTTCAGGGCCCTCGGTCCCCTGTTTGGAGTAAGCAGAGATCAGAAATGATTAGGAGAAATAAAAAAAAAGGTGATAAGCAGCGAAACCACTGCCTGGCAGGTGAGAAAGCAGAGACATGGCTGAGGATCGGCCTCGGCATCCATGGGCGAAGGAGCTGAACCCAGCAGGAGGGGTGTGGGTGATGCTGGGGTTCAGGGTCGTGGCAATCCGGAGGGAGAGAAGGGATATATTGCCTCCGAGCAACTCTGTCTGAGGGTAAAAGGGCAGATAAATACAAGGATGAAAAAGAGCTATGTAAGCTAGAAAATTAACTCAGTCTACAAACAGAAGTTGGGAGGTCAAAAAGCAGAGGAATATGTGAGGAGTGCCAAAATCAAGCTGAGAGCAAAGCCTTGGCTTTTCCCGAGTGCCATCAGGGGAGCTGGGGTGGCACAAGGGTCAGCGGCCCTGGCCCTACAGCCTGACCCGCACCACGTGCTGGGGCGCCTCCGGCCCCCCCAAACTGGGGGGCTTCTCCCCAGCTGCGGGGGACACGCACCCAAACCCGGCACAGCTGGGGATGCAAACAAACCACCCCAACACCCACAAAACAGCGTGTCCCCGCGGGGCTGCTAAATAGTTCTTTGAATTTCAGAACAACACGAAAAGCATTAGAATTCCCACCTTTCTCTTATATTTGTATATATTGTGCAATATCAGTCCCTTCATGGAAGGTTTGTAGTATGTTATCCATCATTTGCTTTCTGCACTCCACACTGCTTGTTTACAGGCCAGTTCTTTTAACTTGTCCTTTCGCATATCTGCCCCCGGGGACCTGTGCCTTGAATTCCTCGGTCGGTGGTTTCCCCAACAGTCATTACACTGCTCTGCTTCCCCTGGGTGTTGTGCAGAGAGATTAAAGCTTCTGGGATGCTCCGATACGGTGGGCACAGGGGATACCCAAGCAACATAACTGGAATTCCTGATGACTGCTTGGAAGAAATGACACTGACGGCTGGTAATGCCGTTGCATCTGTAGTTATGCTGTGATAAAGATTTGGGGTCAATTAATAGCGTGTTTATAGCATCAGCTAGCGCTAGCCTTCCGGGGTACCCAGGGAAGTGCCCCAGGCATGCCTCGACCAGCACGCTGTCCTGTTCCCAGCTCTGCTTTGACATGCCGCATCCCCGCTGAGTCTGTCCGAAGGCATTAACCTTCTCCAAAAAGAAAAAAATCGGGGCGGGGGGGTGGATAGATTGCTTAGATTTGCACTTGATGAATCAGACCTGCAGACTCCAGATCCCACTCCATGCCACATTTTAGAAGATGTGATATGTCTGCCTCCATCCTCATCCTTTCCTGAGTCTCTGTAATCCCAAATATATCCCGTCAGGGCCCACAGCGACGCGCAGTTCCCAGGCAGCAGCGCCCCAGCCCATGGCCGTCGCCCCGTGACCTGGGACTGCCGCTGAATGACGAGTCGAAAGCCGGCGTGCGGGAGCGCAGCTGGGCTCCCCGCCGCTCTGCCGCAGGAGCCGGGAGAGGAGGATGCACGCATCTGAAAAGCAAGGTAAGGAAAGCTTAGCCACGAGCCGGGTGCGTAGAAGAAGAGCGAGAGGGTGCACAGTCAAATATGGGATGTTGTTTACGGCAAATTTGTGCTGAGTAATCATTGGGAAGGCATGCTCGGGATAAAGCAAAAAATCCTGCTTTAAAGCCTTGTTATGTAATAGGTTTGAGGGAAGATACTGCACTGAAAACTGTTTCTCTTGGCAGTGTAGCACATATTGCTGTCTGATG